AAATTGGAAAAGATTTAAAACGAAATTTGGTTTCGAAATATTTTTGTGGGTGATGGGAAAAGACCCTCTCGACGATTATGTTCTCCTGGTAGCCAGACAAAATTTTAAATGAATTTTCTGATTGACACTTCGTGTATTAGGAGCTGAAACATCTCCTCCCACTTTATAACCTTCTGATACCAAATTGGAAAAGATTTAAAACGAAATTTGGCTTCGAAATGTTTTTGTGGGTGATGGGAAAATACCTCCTCGACTATTATGTTCTCCTGGTAGCCAGACAAAATTTTAAATGAATTTTCTAATTGTCACTTCGTGTATTAGGAGCTGAAACACCTCCTCGCACATTATAACCTCCTGCTACCAAATTGGAAAATATTTAAAACGAAATTTGGCTTCGAAATATTTTTGTGGGCGATGGGGAAAGATATCCACAACTATTATGTTCTCCTGATAGCCAGACAAAATTTTACAAAAATTTTCTGATTGGCACTTCGTGTATTAGGAGCTGAAACGTCTCCTCCCACTTTATAACCTTCTGATACCAAATTGGAAAAGATTTAAAACGAAATTTGGCTTCGAAATGTTTTTGTGGGTGATAGGAAAAGACCTCCACAACTATTATGTTCTCCTGGTAGCCAGACAAAATTTTACAAGAATTTTCTGATTGGCACTTCGTGTATTAGGAGCTGAAACACCTCCACGCACATTATAACCTCCTGATACCAAATTGGAAAATATTTAAAACGAAATTTGGCTACGAAATATTTTTGTGGGCGATGGGACAAGATATCCACAACTATTATGTTCTCCTGGTAGCCAGACACAATTTTAAATGAATTTTCTAATTGTCACTTCGTGTATTAGGAGCTGAAACATCTCCTCCCACTTTATAACCTCCTGATACCAAATTGGAAAAGATTTAAAACGAAATTTGGTTTCGAAATATTTTTGTGGGTGATGGGAAAAGACCCTCTCGACGATTATGCTCTCCTGGTAGCCAGACAAAATTTTAAATGAATTTTCTGATTGACACTTCGTGTATTAGGAGCTGAAACATCTCCTCGCACATTATAGCCTCCTGATACCAAATTGGGAAAGATTTAAAACGAAATTTGGTTTCGAAATATTTTTGTGGGTGATGGGAAAAGACCCTCTCGACGATTATGTTCTCCTGGTAGCCAGACAAAATTTTAAATGAATTTTCTGATTGACACTTCGTGACACTTCGTGGATTAGGAACTAAGACTCGATACACCCGTTTCTATTATCTCTACTTCCCTAATGGCTGTCTTTGGAAGACAAGTAATCGAATTGTAGTATACTGGGGAGTATTCGATATCCCCCAGACCCCCTCCGGTACTACGTTTTCCCACGAAAGCGCATGCTCTTCAGAACATTAACTATAGTTTTGTGAATGGACAATGTAACACAATACCGGGGCGGTCTGGGTGGTATGGAATACACATCAGAAAACCCCCCAGTAAACTAAAACTCCATAGTAAAGCTCCATAGTCCTTTCTCTAGCACGCTAGACAATTATCGAAAATTCGTATAATGGAGAGTATTCCATACCCCACAGATTACCCCGGTACCGCATTTTCCCACAAGGGCGCTTTCTCTTCGGACCATTAATTATAGTTTTTGAAAATAGACGGGCCGGGGGTTATGGAATACTCCCCAAAATACAAAAAATGTTCGATAACTGTTTTCCAAAGACCGCCATGAGGTAATAGAGAAGGAGGTATGGAGTTATAGTTTACTGGGAGTGTTTCTGGGTGGTATTTAAACCCCCCCCCCTGCAATTTCCACAATATAGTAAGACTCGATACTCCATTCTCTACTATCTCCACCATGGTGGTCTTTGGAAAACAGTTACAGAATGTTCGTATAATGTTGGGGGGGGGGGGGGTCTGAATTACATACATATGCTCTCAATCTTCGGAAGCCAGCCGCAGGAACCGTCAACTCGCTCAGGGTTGGAAAACAAAATGAGAACTTGAGATCTTCCACAACGGTAGTTCGTTCTGGCCATATGACCTTTTAAACTTCCTTGCACTTACGCCAGCCGCTTCATTTTAATATTAAATCTCCTCCACGATCCGTTGACCCATTTCACAAAAGGCCGCTCGTTATCGAAAGATATGTCAAAGGTGTCGGCACTCGCAGGTAAATGTAACAAATTAACCAGTTTCGTATGCACAACGATGCAACCAGCCGAACGATAAGAAAGAAAAAAGCGCAATTAAAATCCTCACTGTAGGAGTTATAGGTGAATCCGTCCTAATTACTGCCGAATCCCCGAATCCAATCGCCAGAGATAATAAATACGGATGATGGCAATTAAAATTCCATGCGTCCTAAGTTACGCTGTCAGCAGTTTGCGAAAACAATCTGCTACTACTGCGCGGTAAAATTGCGTGGTTAATTTCCACAGTAGAGGGAGTCATCTATTCGTAATCTACGAGGTTTTTTCAATAAGTACATATACCGTAAACAATAATAATTCTTAGTAGTGAAGAAAACAAATCTTTACACATTAATTATAGTGAGATGACAGTCTAGCATAGTACTGGGGTGGTCTAGAGGCTGTGGAAGAACGCCCCCCTCTCCCTATCAATAACCCCCAAAAAGCTAAGGCGCGATGCCTCTTTTTCTATTATCTCTAGCGTCCTCATGGCGGTCTTTGGAAAACAGTTATCGAATGGTTCATATTCTGAGAGGTATTCCATAAACCCCCCCCCCCTCTCCCACAACCCCTCGGCTTGATTTCAAAACATAAAATTATAGTTTTGTGAGTGGACATATTATACCGGTGGTTAAGGGGGTAGGGAATATCCCCCAGCAAACTAAGACTCGATACTTATTTCTCTATTATTTCTTTTTCAACATTTTCTTACCAATTTTTAATAATTTGGGATCATTTTCCAAAATGTTATAAGGATTTTCAAAATTTTTATAAATTTTTAATACATTTCCAATATGTTTCCTGCGCTTTTCCAAAGTTTCCCAAAGTTAAATGATCTTTTAACATTTCAGGCATCTTTCCACTAAGGCTTCAGATACAAATTTTGATATTGCAATGTGTACTTCTGCACTCCTGACACAATCAGTTACTGCTGAAGTGCTTGAGTCAGGAAAACGTAATAGTTTTCTTATCAGGAAAACACGCACAATTCCACCAGTCGGTTCTGCACCTTTGGTCCAATGACTTTGTGCTGAATTGTAGTATTAGGAAAGTATAAACGACCATGCTCTATTAAAGAATTTGAAAATACCACCTGTCGCATCACAGGTTTAGACAGTTATTTATAGTCAAGTATAAGGAGATAGAGGCAATAATAGCCATTTCAACTCGGAGTTCGAATGCCACAGGTTGGTATCAGGAGACCATGAAAATGACTTCTGTCACAATTTCAGCTTTCGACCTAATTGTGGCGCCGTGCGCTTAAAATATTATCCGTTTGCCCAACATGCACATGGTGACAGTTTTTGCAAGTAATTTTAACTACACCCACGCATCTATTGTTACATTTTATTGTATTGTCTATTTAAAAGCGTGGGAGTAACAATAAATCTATTTATACAAATTAGAAAGTTCCCGTTTGATCAAGTTTATTATTGGCGCAAAACTGCGTAACGCATTTAAATAATAATAATTTGTGTTGCACAAGCTGTTGATCCAAAAAAAGATGTCACGCTCCGATTTTACTATCATCGTATTCAGTCTGAATTTAGATTGATTGGTATTCGCGTGGTCGGTAAAGTAGGTAAGTGCAGCATCGAGTAAGTGTCTAAAAAGTGGTTTAATTAGAGACGGTGTAATTACGAAAATGCTCAGATGCATAGTCGTGGCATCTTTGGTCGGGCTTGTTATCTCAGAGTACAAAGGTTGTCGAAGTTATGAAACGCAAACGATATGTAGACAAGTTCACGACGTCCAATTTCTTCGCGATAGCTTGAAACAGAATACAACGGGAAGCTCCATCCACTTGGTGCACTGCAATATAGATGTAATCCCAGCGGATCTCTTCCCCAAGAATGTCACGCAGCTGAAGATCGACGATAGCAAAATCGTTGGCATTGAACGGGGGGCCTTTGCCGGCCTCGACAAGTTACACGAGCTGACCATCTTCTCGAATTTGATACCAACCTTACAGTCTGGGGTTTTTGAAAGGTCGACTCAGCTAAAAACCATCAGTATCTTCTACACGCACCTGGAAAATTTGGAAAAGGGGACGTTCGTTGGGCTCCACCACCTCCAAGAGCTCGACCTGTCCCACAACAACCTCAAGACCTTGGTCGATGGCGTTTTTCAAGACCTGAAGGCCTTGCAGATCTTGGATCTTCAGGCCAATCGACTAATGTTCATGCGAGAGGGATGCTTCAAAGGTCTACACGCGCTAAAACACCTATACTTGTCTCGCAACCAAATTCACTATTTACCCGCCAACATCTTTCAGCAAGTCACCCACTTGGAAGAACTCCACTTGAACTACAACAAACTGGACGGTTTGCAAGAAGCGTACTTCACCGGTTTGGGCCGCCTGGCGAAGCTGTACCTGAAGAACAACATCATCACGCAAGTAAGACGAGGCAGCTTCAGCAACCTGCAGGGCCTGAAACACCTCGACCTAACCTTTAACAGAATCGGAGTCTTCGATCCGAAAGCCTTCGAGGGCTTGCACATATTGGAAACGCTAACGGCGGGGAATAACGACTTTGAGGTTATCTTTAATGGGACCTTCGACCTCGATTATCTATCCTATCTCAGTCTCGAGTACAGCAATCTTGAGCGCATCGAAAAGAGCACCTTCGGCACCCTCCCCAGCTTGCAACACCTAAATTTGGGCAACTGCATCGTCAATCACATCGCGAGCGGAAGCTTCGGCCGACTGCCCAACTTGCGACGCCTCAACCTGGACAACAACAACCTCGCGCAAATCGACAACCTCACCTTCGGCGGGCTCGACAAGCTGACCGAGCTGCGACTGTCCGGCAATCGCCTGAACGCGCTCAAACCGAACACATTCAAGCACCTCGTCGCTCTACAGGAGCTGCGGCTCACCGGCAATCGGCTCGTCAACCTCGAGATCGGCATGTTCAGCGGACTGACGCTCCTCAAGGCGCTACACTTGGACAGCAACCAGATCGCGCGACTGCCCTCCGGCGTCTTCCAGAACATGCCGAACTTGGAGGTCCTCTCCTTGGCGAACAACGCGATACGCAACGTGGATAAAAACTCATTCGGCGGCCTGGTGAACATCCAAGAGCTGAATTTGATCGACAACCCGATCGAGTTCGTCGACGGGGATGCGTTTTTCGGATTCAAAAGGTTCAAGTTGATGATAAGCGAGGTGAATTTGACGCGCTCGACTTTGGAGGAGATCTCGTCGCAGGACCGGATCGATTTTCATTTTAATGTCGATAAATTATAAAAAGCCGAGCTTTAAATATAGGATTAATGCTAAAGAAACAAACCCATGACCCTTTAAGCGCTTGGGCCCAAAAACAGGCACACACTGGGTGAATTTTAAATTGTTAGGCTTGTATGGACTCAAATCATGACTTTCGTGACTCCTTTGGTCCAAAAATGTTAGAAATTCGATATTTTTTGGCGCCAAAACCCAAAATTTGAACCTTTTAGACCTTCGCAACCTATAATTTTGTGTACCCATGACCTTTAAAGTGCATGGGCCTAACAACGGGTCCAAATTTGCTACACATGAATGAATTTTAAAATTTTGAAACTTGTGAAATCAGAATTTGCGTAACTCCTGTGGTGAAAAATTATAGAAATATGATATTTTTTGGCGACGAAACCTAAAATTTAAGCCTTTTAGGCCTTCACAACCTATAATTTTGTGCACCCATGACCTTTGAAGTGCATGGGCCCAGCAACGGGCCCAAATTTGCTACTGATTAGAGAATTTTAATTTGTTTAACTTGTATGTACTTAAATCAGAATTTGCGTAACTCCTGTGGTGAAAAATTATAGAAATATGATATTTTTTGGCGACGAAACCTAAAATTTAAGCCTTTTAGGCCTTCACAACCTATAATTTTGTGCACCCATGACCTTTGAAGTGCATGGGCCCAGCAACGGGCCCAAATTTGCTACTGATTAGAGAATTTTAATTTGTTTAACTTGTATGTACTTAAATCAGAATTTTCGTGACTCCTGTGGTCCAAAAATGATAGAAATTTGATGTTTTTTGGCGACGAAACCTAAAATTTGAACCTTCTAGGCCTGGACCCAAAAACTGGCACCCAGTTGCCATCAATACGGGAATTTACTTTATTTATTTACCTTTAACAAAATAATAAATATAACAGTGTTGGAATGGATTAATTTATACCATTAATGATTACTTATCACTCACAATGTATAACATAACACGAGCGAGAGTACAATTCTTATACAGCAAATGCCCATCTTTCTTGAAAGTTCTCGAACGCTTCTGAACGTGCCCGAATATTTGAAAATTTTCTCGAACAAACACATCATATTTCCCGGAAAGGATGCCCTTTGAATTTTTTTTCGAAATTGGTTTCTATTCTAGACTATAACTTTTGATTGAGAAGTCTGATCGAAAAAGTACGAATTGATTTGGATTCTACGCACCCAAATTAATAAGAAAAGGTGTTTTCCCGAGAAATTTTGGTGTAGTCGATTTTTGGTAAAAAAGGAAGGTTATACACTGCCTTTTTTTGAGCCCCGAAAAAAAATTGTCTCAGATCGACCCGGAAAAAAATTTTCTTATAGAATGTGGCCTGTAGAATCCATAATTTCAAACAGTTCCAAGATTGGGCTACTAGTTCAAAAGTTACAGCTCTTTGAATTTTTTTCGAAATTGGTTTCTAGTCTATAACTTTTGATTGAGAAGTCTGATCGAAAAAGTACGAATTGATTTGGATTCTACGCACTCAAATTAATAAGAAAAAGTGTTTTCCCGAGAAATTTTGGTGTAGTCGATTTTTGGTAAAAAAGGAAGGTTATACACTGCCTTTTTTTGAGCCCCGAAAAAAAAATTGTCTCAGATCGACCCGGGAAAAAAATTTTCTTATAGAATGTGGCCTGTAGAATCCATAATTTCAAACAGTTCCAAGATTGGGCTACTAGTTCAAAAGTTACAGCCCTTTGAATTTTTTTCGAAATTGGTTTCTAGTCTATAACTTTTGATTGAGAAGTCTGATCGAAAAAGTACGAATTGTTTTGGATTCTACGCACCAAAATTAATAAGAAAAAGTGTTTTCCCGAGAAATTTTGGTGTAGTCGATTTTTGGTAAAAAAGGAAGGTTATACACTGCCTTTTTTTGAGGCCCGAAAAAAAATTGTCTCAGATCGACCCGGAAAAAAATTTTCTTATAGAATGTGGCCTGTAGAATCCATAATTTCAAACAGTTCCAAGATTGGGCTACTAGTTCAAAAGTTACAGCCCTTTGAATTTTTTTTCGAAATTGGTTTCTAGTCTATAACTTTTGATTGAGAAGTCTGATCGAAAAAGTACGAATTGATTTGGATTCTACGCACCCAAATTGATAAGAAAAAGTGTTTTCCCGAGAAATTTTGGTGTAGTCGATTTTTGGTAAAAAAGGAAGGTTATACACTGCCTTTTTTTGAGGCCCGAGAAAAAATTTGTCTCAGATCGACCCGGAAAAAATTTTTTTTATAGAATGTGGCCTGTAGATCCCATAATTTCGAACAGTTCCAAGATTGGGCTACTAGTTCAAAAGTTACAGCCCTTTGAATTTTCTTTCGAAATTGGTTTCTAGTCTATAATTTTTGATTGAGAAGTCTGATCGAAAAAGTACGAATTGTTTTGGATTCTACGCACCAAAATTAATAAGAAAAATTGTTTTCCCGAGAAATTTTGGTGTAGTCGATTTTTGGTAAAAAAGGAAGGCTAAACACTGCCTTTTTTTTGGCTTGAAAGAAAATTGTCTCAGATCGATCCGGAAAATAATTTCTCTTATAGAATGTGGCCTGTAGAATCCATAATTTCAAACAGTTCCAAGATTGGGCTACTAGTTCAAAAGTTACAGCCCTTTGAATTTTCTTTCGAAATTGGTTTCTAGTCTATAACTTTTGATTGAGAAGTCTGATCGAAAAAGTACGAATTGTTTTGGATTCTACGCACCAAAATTAATAAGAAAAAGTGTTTTCCCGAGAAATTTTGGTGCAGTCGATTTTTGGTAAAAAAGGAAGGTTATACACTGCCTTTTTTTGAGCCCCGAAAAAAAAATTGTCTCAGATCGACCCGGAAAAAAATTTCTTATAGAATGTGGCCTGTAGAATCCATAATTTCAAACAGTTCCAAGATTGGGCTACTAGTTCAAAAGTTACAGCCATTTGAATTTTCTTATGGTGGAGATCATGCAAGAATGACTCCTTACTCATACTTATATTTTATAGTATTTTATTTGAATTTGCATTTTTTTACCGAGGCCTGGAGTCGCTCCACCCTAAGGACGGCTCTGTCTGCTCTCCACGAAACTACTTCTCGCGTATGATCTAAGTCAATGGCAATGGGGGGCAAAATTAATTATTTGTATTGTTTAAACAATATGTACCCTTTTTATGCAGAAAAATTTGTAGCGCATTTTTTAAGGATTAAATAAACATATTCTACCAGCATTCATGAAAGGTCTCATCAAAAGGAACTATGACACTCCCCCGTGACTCGTTTTTGAGATCAGTTGAGGTTAGTTCATGGCATTCGAATTAAAGGTCTCCACCAATGGAACTGTATTCCACCAATTACAGCCTTTCACCTTTACCTCTTATCAAAATCGGAGATTAGGGGGGGGGGTCACTGATTTTATCCTTAATGGTACTCTACTGCAAGGTCTTAACGAAAGGAATTAATTCCTACCAACTGCAGTCCTCTTTCTCGGCTCCTTATCGCGATCGGTTATAATTCCTCATATCTCAGCCGAGTGCCGAAGAAGGGTACTCACAAAGGGCGAATTTTTCGAAAAAGGTGTCGGAGGAGAGCACAAAAGGCAAGTGAAAAGACGGGCGAGACACGTCTATTGATGAATGAATGAATGAAAGTGTCCAGGTATCTGCAGAACTGAGCGTCGGTAAGGGGCACTGTTTAAGGGCGGTGGAGCGTCTAGACGACGAAAATGAAGTTTGGATATCTCGAAAATGGAGTGTCGGAGGAAATCTGCGAAGTTATTTCGCTTTAAAAAATGCGCTTTATTTGCACATGAGTTGTGCACAATTGAAACTTTTTTCTACATAACAAACGATTAAAAACTATCATGTATTTCTGTGGGCGGACTGCCCCAAAATTTAGCGTAGAAAATGTACACGCCTTTCAAACGTCGCGATACCAGCAGCTTCATTTTTATGTTCATTCTAGTATGTTAAAGGACCGCCACCTCCACTACACCTTGATCTTTTTTAAGAAAATTTCAGAAACTTCGCCACAACTACAACAAATATAACATCAGATTCTTATTTGGCGCGTCCAAAAACCTCAGTATACCGACTTTCATTTAAAAATAACAAATTTTTGTCAGTTTCATCCGCCATATTGGATTCGCCATTTTCTTTTTCCTAAATCTACCATTAGATACTTAATCGGAGCGCTCAAAACCCCCACTGCACCGACTTTGATTTGAAAACAACAATTGTTCTTAATTTTGTCCGCCACATTGGACCCGCCATTTTGTTTTTTAAAAATTTAACATCAGGATCATAATTGGGGCGCTCAAAAACGTCACAATAGCGACTTTCATTTGAAAATGTCAAATTTTTGTTCGCCATATTGGATCCGCCATTTTGTTTTTCGAAAATCCAACGTCAGGTTCTTAATCAGAGCACACAAAAGCCCCACTACACCACTTTCATTTGAAAACAAGTTTTCTTAATTTTGCCGCCATATTGGATCCGCCATTTTTTTTTTTAAATTTAAAATCAGATGCTTAATTGGCGCGCCCAAAAACAATAGCGGCTTTCATTTGAAAATATCAAATTTTCGTCATTTTTGTTCGCCATATTGGATCCGCCATGTTGTTTTTCGAAAATCGTAACATCAGATTCTTAATCAGAACGCCCAAAAACCCCAATGTATACAATTTTAGAATAAGGGCAATACCTTCATTTTCTGGATAGTTTTTTGGGATTTGGAATCACTTGTGCGGCGGTGGGATTCAGTTTACGTACTTAGCCTGACCACTACTGTTAGATACACCCCGTATAGTAACGATGTCATGTGTCTGATGTGTTGCCTATACGAGTGAGTGTAAGCAAAAAGATTGATAGTGGCCAGACTAGAACTTACATAATTGAGGAGATAGCGACGTAATTGATAAACTTCGTCGTTCCCAAGAATTTCGAAACTGGCGCGTGACGGCGGTAACCATGGAAACAATCGGTGACACGCACCCACCATTACATTACCATGCAGTTTGCTAAGCCAACTTCACGTATATAAAAACGTCACGTATGAGAGTGGACAAATCAATTAATAAAAATCGGTTATCGTGACTGAAACGGCTCGCTTGCGACTGGTTTTGCGAACCGCGCTCGACTTTACAAGTGAAATTAAGGTAAGAATCATAAAATTCAGTACGAAACTCGCCAAGTTGTCGAACCTAACCTTAAATTTTCACCCGTCGACCGTAAATCGACGAGTTTGTTAAAATCTAATCAGGCTTTCACCGTTCCGAAGGACGTTCGTTGTGTTTATCAATTATCAGTAAGTGTGACCTGAGCCAATGTCGTTACAAGGTTTAAAGAACGTCATTTAAATATTATCACTTTATTTGCAAGTTTTGATTAATAAAAAACGGCAATCGGAAAAGAAGGGGAATCGTACGATTTTTAAGCGGCGCCCGCCTCTCACGCGCGTCACATTGTTGCCAGCTTTCGCCGCGTGAAAGTTGCCTCCAGTCAGTAGTTCCCAGATTTTAAACTCCGACGCCAATTTCCAGATACGATGTCGGCTAAGGCGATTAGAGAGGCGACCGGCAAGGACCTCATCAACAGGCACCTGCCCGAGGGCACCGCGACGAGCAAGTGCAGGTTCGCGTCCGTCGGCCCCGAGACCAAAATCGACGACCTCGTCGACACGCACCCGTGGCTCAGGACGGAGAAGCTCGTCGTCAAACCGGACCAGCTCATTAAGAGACGTGGAAAATTGGGTAAGCTTAATTAGGAATTAACCGTAATTTAGATAACGACGGTTCGTTCGACTTCTAGAGATTAAAGATAGATTAGGCCGGGTGTTTCGAAATCGTTTGGTGCGTCAGCTTTAGGGTCGTAATCTTTGTAATCTCGACAAGCAAAATGCAACATGCCTTGACCTTTGTATGTGTAGGAAAATGCTCGACTTTACAATGTAGCTCTTGACACCAAAAAGGAGGACCTGCATACAGTATGTTCCCAATGAATTAAAATTTGTTAAATGGGTCACGCTGTATATGCTTGCATATTTTGAAAGAAATAGCTGTCCTAATAGCGATTTTGCAAGTAGACCAGTTGTTATCTTGATTGTTTTTCTGATTTGATCCTTGTAATCCGGAGCAATTGAATAATAATAGTAAAATAATAAAGCTTATTTTGACTAGTTGTAGGTAGTTGGCGCTGATATCTCGGTTTTGTTATGGCCTACTGGGTAAATTTCCATTTGCATTTGCATTTTAGAATTTGTTTCAAATTTTCAAGAGCCCTCCAAAGGTTTCAAGAGCTTCCTTGTCTCCCTTTTAAATGAGGTTCTTCAAAGAGTAATTTCAAGAGCTTCCAATATTCATCTAGAAAAGTCTTGAGAGATCTTCAGCTTTTAAAGAGTTTTAAGAAACTTTAAAATCTCTAAACTTCTAAACGTTTTACAGCTTTCCATGTAAGGATTTTTAAGGTTGTTCAAGAACCCTCCGAGGGTTTCAAAATCGTCTGTATATCTCTTTTAATCTTTAAAAAGAGGTTTCAAGATTGCCCGCGTGTGGCGCAGTTGAGCCGAAGCCCACTCAAAAATAAAGGCCATACAAGAATTTTTCTTAATTTTGTCCGCCATATCGGATTCGCATCTTAATTGGCGCGCCCAAAAACCTCACCATACCGACTTACATTTGAACACTAAAAAAACTCAAAAAACACCAATATTGATCCAATGATTTAAAAAAATTCAAAAATTTGTTTGAATTTTTTAAAAATAATTTAAACAAGTTTTTGATGTCCGCTTAATCTCTTTGAATCACTTGAATCTTTTTTGAATATCATAATTTTGTAGTTTTGAAAAAATAATTGAAGTAATATGCTATTTTTCAGATTCAGATATACAGGGTGTTACATTAAAAAAATGAAAATGTAACACTAAAAAATTATTTTGTTATTTTTGAAATCATTTGAACTGTTTTTTAAATTCTCTTTGAATTTTTTGGAACCACTTGAATCTCTTTTGAATGTCATCCCCAGTGTGTGATATTATTGGACAAGAGAATTTAATATGCTCTTTTTAGATTCCAATATACAAGGTGTTGCGTTAAAAAAAATGGGGTTAGATTATTCAACAAGCGAATATGTTCAAATTTTGATTTTTCTATTTTAAGTTTGACTCAAAAAGAGCACACTATATTACGGAGATATCCTATAAAAGTGCCGAAAATGGACACCCTGTACATTAAAGTTGGATTGAATCTTATGAAAACGTTAAGGTTATTCAAGAACCCTCCGAGGGTTTCAAAATCGTCTGTATATCTCTTTTAATCTTTAAAAAGAGGTTTCAAGATTGCCCGCGTGTGGCGCAGTTGAGCCGAAGCCCACTCAAAAATAAAGGCCATACAACAATTTTTCTTAATTTTGCCCGCCATATCGGATTCGCATCTTAATTGGCGCGCCCAAAAACCCCACCATACCGACTTACATTTGAAAATAACAAATTTTTGTCCGCTATACTGGATCCGCCATTTTGTTTTTCGAAAATTTAACATCAGATTCATAATCGGAGCCCCCAAAAGACCCACTACATCAATTTTCATTTGAAAACAATTTTTCTTAATTTTTTCCGTCATTTTGTTTATAGCCTTTACAGTCTTTAGAAGTCTTCTGGGGTCTTTACCTCGGTCTTTACAATTTTTTTATTTACCGTTTAGGAATTTTAAAGATTTTTTAATAAACTTTCTTATTCTTTAAAATATGCAACTTATTTTTATGTTTTACAAGAGTCTAGAGTGTATAATGGCGTGTATGAATTTTTAAGATAATCGCAGAGCCCTCCAAAGGTGTCACGATCTTCTGGGGCTCGCTTTTAACCTTTAAAAAGAGGTTTAACGTGAAAGAATCTTTAAGGGTACTCAAGAGCCCCCCTTTCAAGATCTTTTCTTTTTCGCTATTAATCTTTAAAAAGTGGATTCTAGGATCTCCAATTTCAAGAGATTCATTAAGAAGGGTGTAAATTTGTATTAATCGTTAGCAACGTTTTTCTAAGAAACTTTAAGAGTTTTTAAAATCTCAAACCCTAAGATCTCCTAGAGTGTACTAATAATTTCAAGAAATTCCAAGATTCATTAAGAAGAGTCTTTAGAGGTTTAAGATTTTTTGAAATCTCGAAGCTTTGTAAGTGTGTCTTATCTTAAAAACAGGTTTCAAGGATCTTCAAAATGTCAAGAGCTTTGAAGATTCATTGATTCCAGAGCTCTCCAAAGGTTTCAAGTTATTCTGTGTCTCGCTTTGACTTTTTAAAAAGAGGTTTCAAGTATCTTTAAATTTTAAGGGCTTCCAAATCTTTTGGAGTTTTTAAATTTTTCTTATTAATTGCTAAGAAGTTTTAAAGATTTTAAAGAAACTTTAAGAGTTTTTAAAATGTCAATTTCTTTAAACGGTTTTACAGCTTTCTAGAGTCTATAGTAGCGTGCAGGAGTTTTTAAGGGTATTCAACAGCCCTCTAAAGATTTCAGGATCTTCTATGTCTCGCTTTTAACGAGGCTTTTGATATTTAAAAATAGGTTTCAACGAACTTTAAAATTTTTTAAGAAATTCTCGGAAATTCTGAGATTCATCAAGAGCAGTCTTTAGGCGGCTTATGGAGTCTTTAAAGTCTTCTATTTATTAAGACATGTTGGGGGTAAAAAACGACCCCCCCCCCCTTTTTTTTACGGAAACACGTTTTGAAGCGCCAGGAATCCGAATCAAACAAAATCTCGATGGGTCTGTCTGTCCTTATTCCTCTTGGTCCAAGTAAGAAATCTGTTGAATTTAGGTCGTTTAAAGGATAGTGTCCCAACTTCCCCCTCGTCCTCCCTCCTGTTGTATTTTTTATTTTCCTTCTTAAGTTCCTAAATTGTTACATCTTTTTTCCTTTCATTTCCATCGTTCTCTTCAGTGTGTTTCCTTGTTTATCAACCCCCCCCCCCCACTTCCCCATTCTTTAATAGATTTGTTTACCCCCGTACACAGTTGATTCTGCGCGCAACGTACAACCTTAAGAATAAGGGGTTGGGCAAAAAAGTTATCGGACCTAACCTCATTTTTTAAATGAAACACCCTGTATATTTTCAAAAATAGAACACTAAAAAAACTCAAAAAACGCCAATATTGATCCAATGATTTAAAAAAATTCGAAAATTTGTTTGAATTTTTTACAAATAATTTAAACAACAAGTTTTTGATGTCCGCTTAATCTCTTTGAATCACTTGAATCTTTTTTGAATATCATAATTTTATAGTTTTGAAAAAATAATTTAAGTAATATGCTATTTTTCAGATTCAGATATACAGGGTGTTACATTAAAAAAATGAAAATGTAACACTAAAAAATTATTTTGTAATTTTTGAAATCATTTGAACTGTTTTTTAAATTCTTTTTGAATCTTTGAATTTTTTGGAACCACTTGAATCTCTTTTGAATGTCATCCCCAGTGTGTGATATTATTGGACAAGAGAATTTAATATGCTATCTTTTTAGATTCTAATATACAGGGTGTCGCGTTAAAAAAATGGGGTTAGATTATTCAGCAAGCGAATATGTTCAAATTTTGATTTTTCTATTTTAAGTTTGACTCAAAAAGAGCACACTATATTACGGAGCTGTAAAAGTGCCGAAAATGGACACCCTGTACATTAAAGTTGGATTGAATCTTATGAAAACGAATTCTTTGATAGAAAATGCCATTTTCCCTTTTTCATGGGTATGGTGGAGAGCCTTGCCACAATCGGCTGTTACTTTATAATGTGATTGTATCCGGTCTGTGATAAAATTAATTAACGCGTTTTTTGTATCAGATAATTTACGAAACTGCGTTGTTTTAATCGAATAATAATGATAATAATAATAATAAATAACGATTTTCTGTTACCATAATAAATAGATATTAAATCACGCTCGCGTTTTTATTAACGACCGAATTTGTGGAATTATTTTTTTGTTGCTCACAGGACTGATTGCGGTCAACAAAGATTTCGCCGAGGTCCAAAAATGGATTGGCGCTCACATGAACAAGGACCAAAAGATCGGGGCGGCCGTCGGGAAGCTTCGCAATTTCATCATCGAACCGTTCGTCCCCCACAAGGAGAGCGAGGAGGTCTACGTTTGCATTTACTCGCATCGACACGCCGACACGATCCTCTTCCATCACGAGGGAGGCGTCGATATTGGCGACGTTGACGCCAAAGCCGTCAAGTTGGACATACCGGTCAACGAGGGAGTCGATATTGCCACCATCGAAAAGGTGCTGCTCGGCAAGGTGGGCGCCACGAAACGGGCGATGATCGCCAAGTTCATTCACAATCTCTACACGCTCTACGTCGACCTGTACTTCACCTACCTCGAAATTAATCCACTCGTCGTGACCGACAGGGAGATCTACGTCCTGGACTTAGCCGCCAAGCTCGACGCGACCGCGGACTTTATATGCAAGCCGATTTGGGGCGAAATCGACTATCCTCCTCCCTTCGGACGCGACGCCTACCCCGAAGAGGCGTACATAGCCGACCTCGACGCGAAATCCGGCGCGAGCTTGAAGCTGACCATCTTGAACAAGTCAGGCCGAATATGGACGATGGTCGCCGGCGGCGGCGCCTCCGTCATCTACAGTGACACAATCTGCGATCTGGGGGGCGCGAGCGAGCTGGCGAACTACGGCGAATATTCCGGTAACAACCCTCAGCTTCCACGCGCGTCCTAATTGTTCACCTTGCAGGTGCCCCCTCCGAACAGCAGACCTACGAGTACGCGAAGACGATTTTATCCCTCATGACGCAAGAGAAGCACCCCGACGGAAAGGTTTTAATAACGGGCGGTGGTATCGCCAACTTCACGAACGTCGCGGCCACCTTCAGGGGCATCATTACCGCCCTGCAGGAGTTCCAGCCGAGACTCGTCGAGCACAAAATCTCGATCTTCGTGCGGAGAGCGGGCCCCAATTACCAGGAGGGTCTCAGGAGGATGCGCGAGGTCGGGCAGAGCTTAGGTGAGTCGGCGCCGTGTTGCCGCTGTTTATCTGAACGATTTCCTAGGTATTCCTTTGTACGTTTTCGGTCCGGAAACGCACATGACGTCCATTTGCGGTATGGCACTTGGCAAAAAACCAATACCCGTCGAAAATAACATCACCGAATTTGCGACTGCGAACTTCCTACTGCCAGGCGGACAGACAGACAAGGTTCCCGCGTTCGACATGACCGGAACGACGTCCACCTACCTGTGCGATCGCCGAACTGAGGTAAGTGCGCGATCGGGCTTGTTTTTTTTTTTTTTGATTTGGTGATTGGTTCTTCATTCACGCTTGCGTTTTATTTCGTTTGGTGTCATTGCTTAGGCTTTGCAAGAAAGTGAGCACTAAGATAACCACTAATATTGGCCGACCGACTGAAAGTAAGGCGAAGACAGTGTTCAGGTAAGCACTTCTGGGCGAGTAACATCATGGGGGCATTTTTCAAGCCGAAAGGCATCCTTGAAATACTCATGCGCGATTAAAACTGTTTTTGTTTCCGAGTTTGTCTTGAACTTTGTGTAGAAATTTTATGGAATTAGAATCTTCATCTTTGTTTTTGAAATTAACTATTCAATCTTTTAAAATTGTTTTTAATTTCCAGGACACTAGGGAATTTTGGAATATGTATTTATTTGTGGTTTGTCTAAATCTTACAGTGTTACTGAAGTGCTTGTGATTCACTTGGATATGCGCAAAATGAACATCGAGAAAGTTTTTCTAATATTTTTGAAATTTTTGAAATATCCGAAGATTTTCTCAAGATCTCACGGAATGTTTCGAAAATCTTGGGAATTCTTCAAACTCTTGGAATAATTAGGAATTCTTTCCAAAGTTTTAACTGGAATTTTTCAAATATTTTGAAACGTGAAGACTTACGTTTCAGATTTTTTTGGAATGCTATGATTTTGGAATCTACCCGGAATCTGTTTTTAATTCTTTTTTTTAACTTGCCACTGAATTTCGCTAGAAATGGCCAGGGCTCTAAATCATTCCGTCTATTTTTGTCAAATTCTTAGTCATTTTGGAATTTTTTGAACTACTCTTAGAATTTATGGCATCTTCTCTTTTAGTTTTGGAAGCATTCTCAAGTTCATTTCTTTGGAGGAAATTTGTTTTGGATCTTCGTTTCTGACACAATTCGAATCTAATTTTTATTTTAGGTTCACTTTGAACCATCTGGGCATATATTTATGGAACGCTATTTTTGAAATTTTGGAATATTTTGGATATTTCTGAGATCCAATTCGAATTTATTACCTTGGAACTCTTTATAGCATTCACTTTTAGTCTAGAAATCATTTCAGAGTGATTTCTTTGGCCTTCTTTTAGAGACATTATTTTTCATTGTTTCTTAGAACCATTTAAAACTATGCCTCCAATAACCCATATGTCATTATCAAGAACTCCTGGAAAAATGATTAAAAAAGTGATGAAGGCGTAGCCATCTGGGGGAGTGCCTAACATCGGGGGGTTTGAAGGGGGGGGGGTATGAATGCATTCCAGGAAAGAAATATTCCGTGAATTGTTATTGGAGTCCCAAAAGCTCTTCCTTCATGGAACGAATATCTGGCTGTGGCTGGGGGATATTCCATACTGCCCAGACCCCCCCGGTTTGCCTCCCCCCCCCTCGCAATTGTTAAACCCGTATTAATTTTGTCCCCCAAAACGTTAAAAAAAATAATAATTCAATGGCCTTTCTTGAAAAATGATCACAAAAGTACTAAAGGTTTATCGATTTGGGGAATAGTCAAATACGAGGGGGGGGGGGTATGAAATAATTCACCCCAGGTAAATGCATTCCAGGAAAGAAATATTCCTTGAAACGTTATTGGAGTCCCAAAAGCTCTTCCTTCAGCGAACGAATACCTGGCTGTGGCTGGGGGATATTCCATGCTGTCCAGACCCCCCGGTTTTGCCCCCCCCCCCACCCCCCTCGAAATTGTTAAACCCGTATTAATTTTGTCCCCCAAAACGTTAAAAAAAAAATAATTCAACGGCCTTTCTTGAAAAATGATCACAAAAGTACTAAAGGTTTATCGATTTGGGGAATAGTCTAATACGAGGAGGAGGGGGGGGGGG